TGAGGCAAGAGGATCACGTGAGCTCAGGAGTTTAGAACTGTAGTTCATATGATTGTGCCTGTGAATAACCACTGCACTCCAGCCTGGGCAATAAAACAAGACCCTTATCTCCTTAAAAATAATAATAAAAAAATAAAAACTAAAAAAAGGCCAGGCCTGGCTTAGATTGGCCCACTTTTTAAAGCCTCTCATGAGGCTGTAGTCAAGGTATCAACCTGGGTTGAGGTATTGTCTGAAGACTCAACTGGGGCAGGATCCAATTCCAGATTCTCATGGTTGTAGGTAGAATTGATTTCTTTTTGGGCCGTTGGAATGAGGGCTACAGTTTCTAGCTGTCTGTTGTTCTCAGGCCACCTCAGTTCTTTGCCTCATTGGCATTCCCAAAATAAAAACTCACTATGGAGGTACAATTTTATGTAACATCATCATGGAAGTGACATCCCATACCTTTGCCATATTCTATTGATTAGGAGTAAGTTGTAGGTCCCACCCAAAGTCAAGGGAAGATAATATACAAAATATGAATACTAGAGATGGGAACCATTGGGGCCTATCTTTGAGTTTATTTGTCATGCTGTTGTACATACTAAATCTTTAGTCTTTTTAAATTTCTACTGCACTATTCCAGATAAAAGATTAAAGCAGAGGTATTGTAAAAAAGTATGGTTTTCATTTGTTATTAAAATTTACACCAAATAAATAGAATAGAGCACTAGATAAAATTTGCTATTATATTTGACCTTATGATTTATTTTAGTAATACTTCATTTGAACTACATGATATATGGAGAAGTGTGAGACTGGTAATTGTATCTCAAAGGCTATAAGAAGCAAAACTTACATGTAAACTTCTTTGTGACTATGCCCATAGTATCTGTGAGAAAAAATTTACAAGAGAGTTTCCAATTTAGGCACAGATTTATACATATTGGAATGGATAATTCTGATCAAAGAAGGCGACTTCATTTTGATCAATGAAGGCTGCCCAACCTCCAAATTCAATGGGCATCTTCAGATAACTTGGGAATGTCATCACAATGTAAGATAAACTTGAATGCCATATGGCGTATTCTAAATATGTCTGGTGTAACATATTTAGAAATATATGTGCTTTAAAAGAGGCACTTCTGATTCCCAAGGGGAATAGCTGCATTATGAAAATTAAATTAAGTATCATCATTTCAGGGACAAATCAGCTACAGTTAAAGGAGGCCAATTAAAAGCTTTTCTACCCAATGAATAACTTTCCTTAGTTGACACGCTATTTGGTATTAACACAGTGATACCAGCTGTAATCAAAAACAATAATAAGTCCTGCCTAGATAAATCAATCTTTCTAGTAAACATGTAATCTTGTTTTATATATTGTTGCATTAGATACGGTATAAACCAAAAAATTTCCTGTTTATGAAATTTCCTCTTTGAATAATGAGGTCCGCTAACCAACTGGTATCCACTTTTGGAGGCACTTCCAGCAGAAATATCTCCTTATGTGAACTGGAATTTAAACATTATAGTCCACTTATTTCTTGATTCCTTTATTTGAAGTAACCTGAACTTAAATAACTTACCCTATTCATAAGTTTATATTTCTGAGATTTATTTATACAATTTTAAGTCCATGTTAAAGGTAAATGGGTGACTTAAAAGCAAATTTTCCCAGCTTTTTATGCAGGTTTATTGTCATTGTATCCAATGTTGCTTATTGCCATTTAATCCATTGTGTTCAATTGTCATTGTATCTATTAAATAGAGAAATTGCTAGGAAATCGAAATGCTGATACAATTCAATATAGTATCAGTAATTCAATTTTTGAATGTACCTCAGGACATTCTACTGCATCAACTTTGGACTTTTTTGAGTACCTTTCTACCAATTAGATTTTACCCTTAGTAAGAATTATTAATATAGTTTAACTATTTATAATTTCTTTACATGTACTCTTAGAGGGGTAATATGTGATTTAAATAACACACATTCACACTTCTATATAAAATACAGAATGAGAAATTTCTGGAGGATGAGATAATTATGAACACATATCTAATTTTATTTTCTTATCATACTGCAGTGTTTTTCATACCCAGGTTTAGGAATCTATATGGTAAGAGTATAATATTAATGGTTGGTGCAAAGCAATGGTGAAAATGTTGCCATAAGGAGATATATTAAAAACAAAAATTGGTAATTAATAATTTTAATTCAACATAATGAAAAAACAAAGTGAAATCAATTTATACTATCCCAAACCTATTGTTACTCAGTTGCTCTGAAAGTAATAATTAGAAAACAATCATGGAAAAATTCAGTATTTTATATGCAACTGAAGAACACTTTAAACCCATTTGAAATAACTGACTAGATTTCATTGGTTTGTATGTTTCCAATAAGTGCATTATAGTATTTGGCGTTTACTGAAATACAATCACTTAAGAAGCAATTACTTACAAGAAAGCTAAACATTTACTTCAGAAGTTTTGCTTTATAAAATTTAAAGTTTAAAATACAAAATTCTGAGTAACAAATCACAATAGTAGAGTTATTTCTATTGTTAATAAATTTTAAATTAAAAAATACATGTGTTCTTATGTAAAAGATAAACTGATTATTAAAAAATATTTAGCCAACTTCTATAAAAATATAAAAATTATAGATTGATTCATTTGCTATTCAAAAGAGAGGCCACAAAGCAGTATAGATATTTTCAATCATATTTGTGTGATTTAATACAGTTGATCAACACGTTGAGTTAGTGGCATATCTTTTCCTAAGGTCATTAACTTCAAATGGTGCCTTATGTCCAACTTTGAAGCCTGTGCTTTATTTCTTCATATGAATACATTTGCATTAATCTAAAGCTACTTCATCTTCAAGCTCCAACAGAAGTTATTTGTTTTCCTTTAGGTCTTATCCTTCTTGTTTAAAATGCTTACTCTGCTCAATGTTACTGTCAGACATTTTGTCATTGAAATATATGCTGCCTTGCTCTGAAATATGTTTTCATAGGTTCATGCAGGAAACTTCTAGGGCTATAGGAAATATAATATCATCTTTGGTTCATTGATTCTGGCCCTGTCAGACTTTGTCATATGAACGTCATTATGTACAATTATTATTATTATACTTCTGCTAAGTGGAATTGTAACTCTGACATTTGCCTTACCAGAAGTAGAGACTTTGAGTAAGCAAGTACCATTCAAAGGTTTCCACGGTCTTGACCTATGTCACTTGTTGGCTCACATATGACTATTTTCAATCAGAAACTCTTTACTGTTAAGTAAGAGTATATTTTTATGATGAAATGTAAAGATAATACTTCAAGATTATTGAATATTCATTTGGGGGTTACATTAGTTTGGCAAATTCTTTTTGAAGAGTAAATTTTGAAAACAGAGAACTTGAGAGAGAGAGAACATTGCAATACATATATGGGATACGGTACTAGATATCACCAAAGTTTAAGAACAGCCCTGAAAAGGGGGAGATGAGCATGCAAAATACGTGTTTTAAATGCAAACTAATCAACTTTTAAATGCTGAATATTCTTCCACATAAAAATATTATGTCACTGAGTAGCATAGAGTGGTAGGTGATTACATATTCACTCTCTGTGTAATTTGTATACTTCCTTTCTGAATAGAGTTCGGTCCTTTCAATTTACTTGATCCTGAGCAAATTTGAGGGTTGCTAATGGGTATAGGTTAACCTAAATGCCCATGATTTTTGAAACTATGTAAGTTACTTAGTCTATGTATTAGTAGTTGTCAAAAGGACATTTAGAAGTATAGTGCTAGGTGATAGTCCACAAAATTGGTTTTCTTATCTAGTGAGTTTTAAATAGCAATTTATCCTAGGGTATCTTGTTATTTTGAAGAAGGAAAATAATTTGATTTAGTACAGTAAAGTTCTGGCTTTAAATGGCAATCCAAATTACCAGATGACCTTTAATTGAATCCTAAATTAAGTCAGAGGTAGGAGAAACATAGGTATTTGAATAATATTTCATATCAGTGACCATTAATTTATTCTTCAAACTTGGAAAATAAGACTTCTTAATTTTGGATTTTATAGATGATTTGCCTTCTCACAAAATCACTGACCTAAACATGGCGTGAAAATTTTAAAAACAAGTTTTGATGAACTAGGAAATTCACAGTGTTTTTGCTATGTGATGATTTACTTTCTACGAAAACTGGCCTGTGTTTTATAGTTTTATAAAACCAACATTCATTGTTATTTCAACTTTAAACTTTGGTCTATACAGGAACTGAAAAACTGTAAAAAGATATTCACATTTTTTAATTTTAAGAACATATACCCCAGAGAAGGGGGCTTTCACTTCTGTACATAACTAAGCGCAATTTAAGCAGAATGTATGCTTTTAATTTAATACACATTCAACTTTGCAACCTAAATAGCTGACTAAAATTTGTCTGATAAATACAAAGTAATACATAGTTTCATATTTGGGGTGGCTTACCCTGTGTGATTGGAATGGTTTCCCTGTCCTCAACATGCAGTAATTCAGGGTCCTGATTCATATTTAATAAGACATTATTAATGCAAGAGTTTACTCTTTATAATGCAGTTTATATGTTTAAGATTCGAGTCCTACAATCTAGTTTACATGTAAACAAATTGTAAAATACATGTATTTGCTTTTCATGACTTACTTGTGTAGTTTCAAAATGTCAGATACACCCAGTTTACTGTGATTCAGTGAACTATTCTTATAGGCTGAACAATGCAGTTAAAGAAAAATGCAGATAAAACACTGCCACTTAACACATCACTAGACCGGCTAAAACTTTGAAACATTAATCAAAGCACACTAAACACTTAATTTCGAATGTGCGGAAGAACAAAAAGATCTCTGAAAATTCATTGAAGGACGAAGAGTCTAGCACCAGAGACCTGTAATCATGATGACTTGCGCTGCAAGATGCTGATCATTGCCATAGCAACAGACTGTGTTTTGTTACATCATGGAAATCAGGAAAGTGTGAGTTATGAGTGCAACACCCCACCGAGGGGACAAATTCAAAGCTATTATGAGAAAGGGTAATATAAGATGTAGTCATAGGTAAAGATGAGCATTTTGAAAAGGGTAATTACAAAAGCACACGAAGATAGATGAGCAGCTCATGAAAATTCGAGTCTACTTTTGTAAGTGAGGCTTTTATTTGTAACCATTCTTAATCACTGTTATCACTGGCTTATTTTCTTCTTCCTTTTGTAAAATAAGACACAACAGCAAACAGCTTTGAAAAGAAATTACAATTTTTTTACTTGTTTTATATTCTAGGAGACTCTCTTTTCTACTGCTATCAATTCAAAGAGAAATATAAAAAGATTTTTAACTTTCATGTATTGTAAATATTGCACTTATCAAATATTCAACTGTACTTATACTGTGGGATTACAGATGTCACATATTAAATGTACATGTTCCAAGCATATGTACATGTATTCCATTATTATGAGCATGTTAGACTCAAACATGTTGATACATTACTAAGTACAGTGTTGATTTGTATAAGAAACCCATATTAAAAAAAAAAACCTTAGGATAGTCAGAATTTCATTTCTAATAGTGCTAGCATAATGTCAAAGTGGACTGATGTTGCCACACATAGCAATAATAAAATCTAAACATAATGCAATAAGCAGATGCCTGAAGGTACTGGGGAATGAAGAGAAGCAGGCAGGTGTGGAACACAAATTCTGATGGAAGCTGTATGGTGTGAGTTCCCCTCTGTTGTTTCAGTCTGAGGGACAGGAGAAATGAGCACACATGGAGTTGGGAAGGAGGTAGCAGGGGAAACAGCACAGTTTGCCTGGCCTCAGGAGCCACAGTTAGAAGTCAGGGAAATTCAGCCTAATTGAAAACAGGGTGAGATACCTATGACAACGTCTTGTATTACATCTTGAATTTTTTTTTTTTTTTTCTTGTAAAGGCCAGGGAGAAGATCTCAGATTTCTGCCTGGTCACATCTTGGGCTGATCCTTGAATCATGCATGAGTGGAACAGAATCAGAGAAACTCAGAGATAACAGATCTGAATTGAACCAGGAGCTACTCTCCAAGAAACATTTTGCATTTTGTAGTTATTCAAATTAATTGCCTGCTAAAACAAAGGAAACGTTTCTTACAGAAAATAACAGATTTCAGCACTTCCAGTTGTTAATATTCATGATGTCTAAGATACTGCCAATAGATAAGTTTCAAAAAAAATGATAAAATCATGGGCCTCAGAGAAATAAAAATGAACAGACATGATTTTACTTATTTATTTATTCTATTTGTTAGATATTATATTTAGTTCAAAAACATATCAGGAATCTTGAAATAAATGTTCAAATGGAGGCAAAACAGTTATTTCCCCCCCACAGCAGAGAGTGAAGTCAATTGAAATTTTACCAGACGGGAGAATCTGCATGTTTATAGGTCACTTATGCTTTGCAGAGTTACGAAATAGCTCAAAGAGGATGAAAGGTTAAAATCAGAAAGCTATGCAAACTGGTTGTATTAGGCTACTCTCACATTGCTATAAAGATATACCTGACTGGGTGATTTATGAAGAAAAGTGGTTTAATGAGCTCGTGGTTCTGAAGCTTGTATGGGAAACACGGTGCTGACATCTGCTCGGCTTCTGGGGAGGCCTCAGGAAACTTACAATTATGGCAGAAGGTGAAGGTGGCCAGGCAAGTCACATGGTCAGAGTAGGAGCAAGAGAAAGACAGCAGGGAAGTGCTACATACTTATAAATGACCAGATGTCATGAGAACTCAATCACTATTGTGAAGACAGTGTGGAGGGGGACGGTGCTGAACCATTTATGAGGAATTTGCTCCCATGATCCAATTACTTCCTACCAGGTCCCACCTCCAACATTGGGGATTACAATTCAGCATGAGGTCTGGATGACGACACACATCCAAGCTGTAACAGTGGTTTAGCCAATTTGCAAAGAAGTTTGCAAGGTTTCTTTGTTTTTGTTTCTGTTTGTTTGTTTTGTTTTTAAGACAGAGTCTCACTCTGTTGCCTAGGCTGGAGTGCAGTGGCACAGTCTTGGCTCACTGCAACCTCTCCCTCCCGGGTTCACGCCATTCTCCTACCTCAGCCTTTGGAGTAGCTGGGACTACAGGCACCCGCCACCACACCAGGCTAATTTTTGTATTTTTAGTAGAGACAGGGTTTCACTATGTTGGCCAGGTTGTTCTCGAACTCCTGACCTCATGATCCGCCTGTCTCGGCCTCCCAAAGTGCTGCGATTACAGCGGTGAGCCACCATGCCTTGCCACAATTTTCCTTTATAAAGTTAAATATATACTTACTTTATGACCTATGCATTTCCTTCTGAGGTATTTATCCAAGAGAAATGAAAACACATGTTTACACAAAGACAGACATATGAATGGTCATATAAGTTTTATTTATAGTAGCCCCAAACTGGAGAGTACCCACGTGTCCATTAACCAGTGAATAAATAAACCCTTCTGCATTCATACAGTGAAATTAAACTCAGTAATACAAAGAATAAGCTGTGGAAACATGAAACAGCACAGACGAATCTCAAAATTATTTCGCTAAATGAAAGAATATAGACACAAAAGACTAGATGCTGTATAATACTATTTATCTCAAATTCTATAAAAATCAAAATTTGATTTACTATAAACAGATTGGTGTTGCCAAGAATTGGGAGTGGGAGAGTATTCCTTGCAAAGAAGCATGAGAGAATCTTCTTGGGAGATGTAAATGCTCTGTATTTTACTGTGGTAGTGAATTCGCAACCATATATACTTGACAAAATTCAACAAAGAGCACTGCTATGGTTTAAATGTGCCCCTCCAAAATTCATGTTAAAACTTAATCCCTACTGTGGTGGTATTGAGGTAGGGACTTTGGGAAAGTGATGAAGTCATGAGGATTCTAGCCTCATGAATGGAATTAATGACTTTTTAAAAGATGCTTCAGAGAGCAGTTTGGCCCATTCATCCCATTGGCGGTGTGAGGACACAATGTTTAGCCCCTTACCCTTTGTAGAACTCAACAACAAGGCACCATCTTGGAAGCAGAGAGCGAGTCCTCACTCAACACTGAATCTGATAGCACCTTGATCCGGGTCTTCCCCAGTCTGCAGAACTGTGAGAAATGTATTTCCATTATTTATAAATTACCCAGTCTGTGGTATTTTGCTCTTGCAGTAAGAATGAACTAAACAGAAATTAGTAATGAGAAGTGGAATGCTGTGTAACAAAATGCCTACAAATGTGGAAGCAGCTTGTGGTGGTGAATACTGAGTGTCAACTTGATTGGATTGAAGGATGCAAGTATTGACTCTGGGTATGTCTATGAGGGTGTTGTCAAAGGAAATTAACATTTGATTCAGTGGACTGGGAAAGGCGGAGTCACCTTAATCTTTTTGAGACAGATGGTGACCACCATCTAATCAGCTGCCAGCGAATATAAAGTAGCCCAAAAAACGTGAAATGACGACAGTGGCCTAGCCTCCCAGCCTGCATCTTTCTCCCATGCTGGATGCTTCCTGTCCTAGAATATCGGATTCCAAGTTCTTCAGTTTTGGGATTCGGACAGGCTCTCCTGTTCCTCAAGCTTGTGGGACCTTGTGATCATGTAATTTAATACTTAATAAACTCCTTTATATATCTATTCTATTAGTTTTGCCCCTCTAGAGAAAGAGAACCCTGAGTAATACACAGCTTTTGAAGTTGGTCAGACTGGAGCACTTTGTTGGTGAATGCTAGAAGAAGCCTATGTCTCCATGAAGAGGGTGTTCAAGGTTGTCTGGTGAGGGCTCAGAAAAAGATGTGAGCTGTAGAGATAGTTATAATCTTCGAGATTGCTTAAGTGGTCATCATTAGAATGCTGATAGAAATATAGACAGTTAAAGCCATTCTAATGAGGTCTCAAATAAAAATGAGGAAGAAGGTATTGAAAATTAAAGAAAATGTCATCTATAAAGTGGCAAAGAATTTGGCTGTATTATGTCCCTGTTCCAGTATTTTGTGGAAGGCAAAACTTAAGAGCAATTGTTAGAATAGGTTGCTAGGCAGACATGAGCAGGGCAGGAGAGGCACCCCACCCCCAAGAATGTTAGGCAACCGTAAGGTGATAGTCATGTGATCGTTAGACTGTCTGTCTAAAATGACAATTGTTCACAGCCAGCAGCAAGGAAAGGCAGCCTCCAAACAGACAGAAAATACCTGAAGCTTCCAGTAAGATCTTAGGAGTTGGGTGAGCAAGCTCAAGCATGCATACTGAGGGGCAAATGGTGGAATTTGACTGGTATGAGACCTTCCTCTAGGAACATTTGACTACTAACGGAAAAAAATGCCTCTGATATGGTTTGGCTGTGTCCCCACCCAGTTCTCATCTTGAATTGTAGCTCCCATAATCCCCACGTGTTGTGAGAGGGACCTAGTGGGAAATAATTGAATCATGGGGGTGGTTCCCCCATACTTTTCTCATGGTAGTGAATAACTCTCACAAGATCTTATGGTTCTCTAAAGGGAAAAGCATTTTCACTTAGCTCTTATTTATCTCTTGTCTGCTGCCATGTAAGACATGACTTTTGCCTTCCACCATGATTGTGAGGCCTCCCCAGCCACATGGAACTGTGAGTCCATTAAAATTTTTTTCTTTCTAAATTACCCAGTCTTGGATATGTATTTATCAGCAGTGTGAAAATTGTCTAATGCAGCCTCAAATGAGCATGTGCAAAACTTGAGTAAGCACATTGCACATACAGCCCCTCCCAAGTGCTGGCAGGCCACTGTGCATGTGGAAAGCCTGCCCCAAGGACAAATCAATAGAGGAGAAACACAAACCTCAGAACCATGCCAATGTATAAAATCCCCAAGTCAAGGGCTGAATGCAGCACTTGGATCTCTCAAGTTGCCTGCTTGGCCCTCTTCTAAGTGTACTTTACTTCCTTTTGTTCCTGTTCTAAAACTTTTAAATAAACTCAGTCATGCTCTAAAACTTGCCTCTGTCTCTCTCTCTCTGCCTTAAAACTACTTCTGTCACTTGGCTGAATTCCTTCCTCTGAGGAGTCAAGAATTGAGTTGCTGCAGACCCATCAGATTTGCTTCTGCTAACACAGTGAACTAAGATATTTGGTGGAAGAAATCTCAAACAAAGTTTGAGAGTGCTACATGGCTTCTCTTGATACTTCTAAATGTGAGAAGAAAGAATTACTTAAAGGTAGAACTTATAGTAAAATGAGAAGTAGACTTAAAAATTTGGAAAATTTTAAGACTGACCAGACTGTAAAGAATAAAAAGGCATGTTTTGGAGAGAACAACAGTGGTCTTCCAAGTGAACTTTTGATAATGTTAGTATGCAAGAGAACAAAAGATTAACCCCAAATGCATTTTGGAGATCTTGGCTGCAACACCCATCAAAGGCCAAGACTGCCAGGGCCTTGAAGGCAGAATAGTTTCAAAAGAGGAGTCCAGAAAACCTATGGGATTTTGGAGCTCGTTGCCCAGTGCCCCCTCATGTCTGTGCTGCCAGAATTCTGGTAAAGCACTTTTTGGCTGCCCCAACTGTGGTTCAAGCAGTCCAGGTACACCTTATACTGCCCCTCCAGAAGGCACAAGTAGTAACCTTGGTGATAGCCATGTGGTGCTAACTCTGCAGCTACACAGAGCTGTGGGAGCATGACTACCTCCACCTACATTTCAAAGGATGCCCTGGAAAGCCTGGATTCCCTGGAAAGCCTCGATGGTCAGGCAGAGAACTGCTACAGGTCAGAGCTGTTGCAGAGAGTCCCTGTTAGGGCAATGCCTAACAGAGCTATGGGATAGGCCCCACTAGAGCAATGTCTAGTGAAGCCATGGGAGGGAGTGGGGTGAGGGAATCTCCCAGAACTGTAGCACCACTAGTGTGCAACTTCAGCCTAGGAGAGTCACAGGTACAACACTCCAAACTGTAAGAGCTGCAGTGTAGGCTTTTCCCAGAAAAGCTGTGAGGGTGGACCCTTGTGGGCTCAACCCAGGCCCCAGTGTATCTGGAAGATGAGACATAGAGCCAAAGAAGATTACTTTCAGGCTGCAAGATTTAATGTTGTTTGCTTTGTTGGGTTTTGGATTTACTTGGGACCTTTATGTTTCTTGTCTATTTCTCCTTTTGGACTGGCAATGTCTATTCTATGCCTGCCCCACCATTGTATTTTATAAGCAGAAAAGTTGCTTGATTTTTCAGGCTAGGAACTGGAGGAGAATTTGCCTGAGGATGAATCACACTCGCAG